GAGGGAGGTACTAAGTCACTGAGAAATGGTCTGAGGAGCTTCAGTGGCTAAGATTAGACTCATCCATCCAACCCTGGTTGGCAGTAGGCTGGGATGGGGCAGAAGGGAAAGGGCTCAGGCTTGTTGCAGAATTCTCTGGAAGGAGGGAAGGGAGTAAATAAGGAGCCGGGGGCCTGACACCCCCGACAATGGGTGGGGCCAGAAGGGCCCTCAAAGGACAGGAATTAAGCTCTCTGTGTGTTTCCATGTGCCCAGTGAGGTTCTGTGGCTGTCTGAGTCCCCATACGGACTGTAAGGCTTTTCTGTCAGGGATGGTACTGCACTCATCACTGGAGCCTCCAGCTTTCTGCTTACACTCAGGTGCTTTGCCTCAGCAACAGCACAGTGGGAGAGCCTGGGCTTTGCCAGCAGAGGCAGGCAGAGCACTGGGATTCCAGGGAGCTCTGGCCTCTCTAGCCATGTGTCTAGAAATCCCTTTGTGTGTTCATTAACCCATCTGTGAAACAGGGATCACAGCCACCTCAGAAAGCCACAATGGCCACCGTGGACAGTGCCAAGCACATCCTAATGAGAGCTTGTCAGACAGGAGCTATGGCCAATAAACCATTAGTGGTGTTTGTTCACCATTGTGAGGAATGCTCTGGGGTGCAGGAATAAGGGGCCCCCTTAAGTAGCCACCTCACATTTCTCCTCTAGGGTCATGGGCTTCTGAGCAGTCACAGGAAGAGCCTAGTAGAATACCTGTCCTGGCCACCACATTCACCCAGACACCTAGGGGTCACGGTCTTTACCCAGCCTCTGTACCCCAAGACCTGGCTCTTTGCCAGGCTAAATTTAGTTGTCTGAGCCACCCTCCCTGCGGGTGAGGCTGGGGTGGAGAGGAATTCAGCAGGCTTCCTGTCTGCTTCCTGGCAAGCAGGCAAAAGCTCGCCAAATGACCCAGGTTTATTCCCCAAGCCAAGGCTGCCAACAGATGTCACAGACCACAGGTGTGAGACAGTCTCAAAGCTGAGAGCTTTTGGGACCAGCAGAAGCAGATGTCCTTGGAATGGGGGAAAGGCACCCTTTGGAGAAGCGTGTGTACCCACGTAAGTGTGTGTGCACACATATGTATTCCTGGTTTACAAGAACTTTACATCAGAACACAAAATCCTCCCCACTCCTGCCCAGGGCCTTCAGGGCACTGGTCCCTGTTAACTGGCTTGGGAACCAGAAGAGCAGAGGCTTCAATCCCAGCACTGGGTGCTAAGCACAGAGTGGCTGCAAGCCATTCAGTATCTTGGCCTGGCCCTCCTGCCCCATCCCTGGGGCTCTGCTTACAGCCTCCACAGGGGTTAGCAAGGAGGGATGAAATGGCAACTGGGTTAAGATCCCTGGGAAGGGGGGTGGTGGGTGAGTGAGGTGAGCCAGCAGGACCTCCCCACTGGCAGGAAGGTCTGGGCTCTAAAGGAACCTCCCCATTTGCTGGAGGGCAGGGTGGAGGAGCACTGTGCCAAGGAGCAGCAGTAGCTGCGGAGTGTTTTCTGCTTCCAAAGCACTTTCCAGCGTGCATTCCTCCACACCCAGAGACTTGGGCAGGGCCAGTGTGCTTGGCGGTGAGAAACCAGGCCGTGGAGGCCCAGGGGAAAGAAGCTGTCACTTGTGGGCTGCCTGCCCTGTCTGTGCCAGGCACTATGTGAGCACCCACGTGCACTCCACCCCAGCACCCTGGTAAAGGAGGGGCCATTCTGACCTTCTGACAGATGAGGATGAAGCTGGGAGCCCTAAAGGAGATGAGAGTGGTTCACCTGAGAGGTCCTCTTAAGAACACTCTGCCAGGAGCATAGCCCAAGTTCAAGGACAGGTCTGCTGGGCATCTCTACATCAGGATGCCTTATGTTTGTTGTGCTGGTTGCTGGTGCTTTCAGCAAGATTTGAAACCCCCAGGGGTGCTGCCCATGTCCTTCCAGAGCCCCTTGCAGGCAGGGCAGCTGCATATTCCCACCCAATCACAGGTTCTCTTAGATAAGAGTACCCACTCAGTGGCCAGGATTTCATGAAGACTCTGGGGGGCATTGCCTTAGTCAGGCTTGACAACAGCAGGCATCTCTCTTCCCATTTGACAGACATAGAGAAGGGGTCAGAAAAGTTAAGTAATTTGCTTTTCCTAACTTAGTCTGTCTCCTCCAAGTGCTCTTAACTCCTTGGTTTTGAATTCTGAACAAGGGGGCTCCTAGAGTCAGGCATTCTCCAACAGGCATGAGGCCTTGCTCTAGTGACATAGCTGAAGTCATTGTCTGAAGAGGATCTTCTAAGCTGGGGCTTTGTGTTGGTCACACTCCCCCATTGGTGGCATTTTCTCCCTCCTCCGTTGATGTGGGAACTGACTCCCTCCCATGATGGAGTAACCATGGGTACAGTTGTGCCGAAAGGCTGCTGCCTGTGTTACAGGGGCCTTGAAGGACCTTGGAACCTCCTATGGTCACCTAGCTGGCTGGCTGCCATCTGGTGTTATACTGTTGGCATTCCATTTAAAGCTCATCAACCAGCCTCACAGTTCTGCCTTGGGCCACCTGGTGGATCATCTTTTGCTGTGGAAACCATGGCCACTCAGTTTCTGCTGTTAACCATACCCCCACTCCACCCCCAGCTCACGAGTGGGAGGCTGGCTGGCTGCCCCTGGATTCTGTACTGTGGAAACCATGGCCACTCAGTTTCTGCTGTTAACCATACTCCCACTCCACCCCCAGCTCACGAGTGGGAGGCTGGCTGGCTGCCCCTGGACATTCCCCCCATGCTACATCTTCTAGTCTGACCTCCTGAACTTTCTCCCACCCCTGGCTTCCTGCTCTGTAGAAACCTGTGAGCTCTTCAGAGCTCAGCCTGAACTTGTCTCTTCTTGGAATTCCCTGGGGCTAACCTCCACACCTCAGCCCCTCTAGATCTTGCTGACTGCTGCAACTGTGTACAGGAATTCCCTGGGGCTAATCTCCACACCTCAGCCCCTCTAGATCTTGCTGACTGCTGCAACTGTGTACAGGGTGGAGCTGTCTGGGCCACCTTTGAACAGCAGCATCCCCTGGCCAGCAGCCAACAGAGGCTGTGGGTGTACATCTTCCCCTTGCTGGGGAATCCTTACCTGCTGATGAACCCCTCTTGCAGGGTACCATAGCGTAAGAACTTCCTCATGCAAATTCAAGGTCAGGGGACTCAAGCCAAAGTGCCTGGAAATTTCCTGCCAGCCAGTGTTGGCTTGACCCCAGGCGGGTTCTTCTCTTTGTTGTCCAGATCTCAAGCTCTTCGCTCCCTTTGCTGAGGTCACTGGAAGAAAAGGGACAGGCAGGTATGGAAAGGGTAGATGGATAATTCCCAAGGCTCCTGCTGGGAAAGGAAAGAGTACAGGTAATGTTAATGCTGAGGAACCCCTTATCCTAGACACACACACAGACATACGGACACACATACACATACACACACACAAACAGACCCAGACACACAGACAGACACACAGACACACAGAGACACACACACAGAGACACACACACACAGACAGACCCAGACACAGACAGACCCAGACACACACAGACAGACAGACACACACATACACACACAGAGACACACACACACACAGACCCACACACACACACACACACACACACACACACACACACCCCTAAAGTCTTTCCCTCTGCTCACCATGAATATAGCTATAGCTTCTTCAATTCGAGATGCAACAACAAAACTCACAAGAATTTCTTTTCCTTCGTCACAGTTTTAGACAGGAGACCTTGGAATATGATTTTTTGTTGTTGTAGTTATTTCTTGAGAATGCCTGTCTTTTCACATAAAAGATACCCTTTTCTGTTTCTCATCCGAATATCCAAATTGCCAGTATAAAGTTAAGTAAGGGTTGCTTGACCACAGCTCTGTGATGTCATGGCAGCCCGTCTGATGGCCAAGGTGGCTCACAGGTGGGTAGAGTATAGTGGGGGATCTGTTGGACAGATGTATGACTCACGTTCCAGGCAAGAAGTGGAGCAGCAGGACTTCAGCACATTGCTCAGAGCAGAACTTCAAAGTCACATTCTCTAAGCACCTGTGTTACGATAAATCTTTCTGCCAAAAGTCGCGGAGCCCCACCGCCACGTGTGCTCTACTCCAGCCGTCGGCCTGAGTTAGGGCCCAAATTAATACACAGAGAGACTTGTATTAGGTACGATGCTGCTTGGCCAATGACTAGGATTCTCATCTGTTAGCTCAGTCTTAATTATCATAAATCTATATATTTTATAAGACTTATCTTATCGGATGCCTTATTGGCGTCCCTCCTTGCCAGTAGCTCTCATCCCGCCGCTGGAGGAGGTATGGAGGGGAAAAAGTGGGACCCTTCCTGTTTCTCCTTGCTAAATATTAGTCTCCTTGCTATGTCACTTCCTGCCTGGATCACCACTTCTCTACTGCATTTCCCAGAATCCTCTTTGACTCCTAGTCCTGTCTAACTTGCTGCCATTGGCCAAACAGTATTTTATTCAACAATCAATAAGATGAACATACACAGTAAATTCCCCATCACACCTGACTGTTTTTTTTTTGGGGGGGGGGAATGGGCGTTTTATCTTTCAGGTGATACTTTACCACTGATTGCTCTGTACAACACAATTCCCACTGCAAACATTGCAAGAGGTTAGCCTTCCTCCCAAAAGTTACTTTAATAACAAAAGATTTGAGATGTGGGTTGATACTACCCCAACCAAAGGGTCATGAGGAGAGAAGGTTGACCCTCAGGGTCAAGAGTGCCCTGGCTCCATCAAGAGAAATGTTCTGCCGACAGAAGGAAATGTCTATGACATGTATAAGCCCAAGGCTGGGCTGGAGCATGGGAGATGGTTACAGGAGGCCACTGGGGGTTGGCTGTGAGGACCGTCACTAGCTCTTGGGGGCAGAGGCTGGCATGAGGGTCCAGGGGGAAGTGTCCTCAAAGGAAACATAGGTGTGACCAGCAGTGTCTCTCTCTGTTCTAGGAACACTGTAGCCATGGCCTTGGGGCTTTTCCGAGTTTGTCTGGTGGTGGTGACGGCCATCATTAACCACCCACTGCTATTCCCACGAGAGAACGCCACGGTTCCGGAGAATGAGGAAGAGATCATCCGCAAGATGCAAGAGCACCAGGAGAAGCTGCAGCTGGAGCAGCTACGCCTGGAAGAGGAGGTGTCACAGCTAGTGGCCGAGAAGGAGGCCCTGCAGGAGGCAGACGAAGAGGACCAGCAGCAGTCAGAGGCTCACACTGCCTGGGACCTCTGGAGCACTCTCTGCATGGTCCTCTTCCTGGTCATCGAGATATGGCGGCAGGACCACCAGGATGGGCCCTTCCCAGAGTACCTGGGTGGAGATGAAGATGAGCTGTCTGGACTGGGGGGTACCCCACTGCGGGGCCTTCCCCTGCCCCAAAAAGCCACCCTGGACCACTTCTATGAGCACTGTATCCGAAGTGCCACAGGTGATGCCACCCGTACCCGGGAGTTTGTGGAAGGCTTCGTGGATGACCTGCTGGAAGCTCTGAGGAGTGTCTGCAACCGAGACACCGACATGGAGTTGGAGGACTTCATTGGCGTGGACAGCATGTATGAAAATTGGCACGTGGAGAGGCCACTACTGTGTCACCTATTTGTACCCTTCATACCCCCAGAGCCCTACAGCTTCCATCCAGAGCTCTGGTGCTCCAACCTTTCCACGCCCCTGAATTGTCAGGGCTATGGCCAGATCAAGGTGACCCTGGCTGGTGGGGACCCTTTAGGCTGTATCTGTGGCAAGACTAAGCTTGGGGAAGATATGCTGTGTCTCCTCCATGGCAAGAATAGTGGGGTACAGCCTAGCACTGGTGGAAGGGATGAGATGGAGGACCTGCTGTGCTCCAGAGAGTCCTCATATCTGGATGCTATGCAGGTCATGAAGTGGTTCCAGGTGGCCCTCACCAAAGCCTGGCACCGCATCGCCCACAAATACGAGTTTGACCTTGCCTTTGGCCAGCTAGACACCCCAGGGTCTCTCAGAATCAAGTTCCGCTCAGGAAAGTTCATGCCCTTCATCTTGACACCTGTGATCCACTATAATGACTCAGAACTATACTTTGTCCCACAACTTTCCAAGGAGCCCTGCAGGGGCACTCCAGCCTCCGGCACTGACTGGCTCCTGTCCTTTGCTGTCTATGAGCGACAGTTCCTCCGGACGACTGCAAAGGCTTTGCCGGAGGGTGCCTGCCACCTCAGCTGCTTGCAGATTGCCTCCTTCTTGCTCTCCAAGCAGAGCCGCCTGACAGGTCCCAGTGGGCTGAGCAACTACCACCTGAAGACTGCCCTGCTGCACCTCCTGCTATCCCGGCCGGCTGCTGACTGGAAGGCCAGCCAGCTGGATGTGCGTCTGCAGGACCTCTTCTGCTTCCTGGAGAGGAGCCTACTGGAGAAAAAGCTCCATCACTTCTTTGTGGGCAACCGCAAGGTGCCTGAGGCGATGGGACTCCCAGAGGTCGTGCGGAGAGCGGAGCCTATAAACCTCTTCCGGCCCTTCGTCCTGCAGAGGACTCTTTACCACAGCACAGTGGACTCATTCTATGAAATGCTTAAGAATGCCCCGACACTCGTCAGCGAATATTCCCTCCATGTCTCTTCAGACCGTGCAAGCCCACCACCAAAAGCTATCACCTTGTAGAGCATGAGATTCAAGGGCCGGGGGAGAGCATCCCGTGTGCCTACCTGACTGGTGTTCTGCAACCCCATGCAGGAAACACAATGGGCCTGGAGGGGAGCTGAGGTTCAGCTTGCTGGGAAGCCAGGTCCTGCAGAGTGAAGGAAATAGAATTGCAGCTGGACACTGGTCTGCCTTTTTGCCACAGGGGCTTTGTTGGTGAAACAGTTGTTTGGGTTCGGGCACCGATCACTATGAATGACCAAGACAGTGACGGGACAGTCCTGGGTACTGAGTTAGAGAGAAAGCAAGCACTGATGTGAATGAAATCCTTTTTGTACCACAGTCTATCCCATGCCTCGTAGCGACAGAGGATCCACTAGGATGTCACCTGGGATCGATTAAAACTCAACTCTCTATTCCAGCAACTCCTGGCCCCCGCTGTCTGCAGCTGAATCATGAATGGGGAGAGATGTGGGAATTCACAGCCTTGGAACCACATTGCTCACAACAATAGAGGTCCCACAGGGTCACCATTTTTAAATACTACTTGACCAAAAGAACCTGGCAGAGGCCCAGGAGCCCAATGGCTAATGTCTCCATTACACAGAAACGGGTACTTGGTGGTGGAGAGTCTCAAACTGGCTAGTTTTTCAGCCACACATCCTACTCAGGTGCACACCCTCTCCTTGTCCCTTTACCCTTGTCCCAGGTCCTGACCACCATGGTTAACATTTACCACACTGGGTGCTGGCTCAGAAGCCCCTCCCATCTCCATAGCTGGTCTTACCAACACTTGTGTCTGGCTTGCAGTTTGGCCCACTTTGGAGAAAGTTACAGGACCATGGAGCAATGGTTATGATAGCCCTAAGCTATCCTCAGGCTCCTGATCATGGGGAAGGCAGGTTTATAAGCCAGAGGTGCTATGGAAACCCATCTCCCATCCACAGACCCAAAGCAACTCCCAGTTCCTAACCCCAAGAGGGCTTTGGCCGCTGTACACATAGCCAGTCTTTTCTGCACAGGCCTTGCTGACCTCATGGATGACTCAGACTGAAAGAACACGGTGGAAGCTGAACTCACTGGGGATTCTCCAACACACCCTGGGAACTCAAAGCAGTGCTGTGGGCCCCAGACAAGCTTCAGAGCCTGAGGCTGGAGCTGGACTCCTGTCCAGGCCTGTGTCAGAGGATCCAGCAGCCTCTTCTCCACTTGACCTTGACTATGTAAGATTTTGTCTCCACATCTTCTTAGTAACATTGACAGTGGACCAAAGAAGAAACACAATGAAGAACGAGGTGGCTCCACTAGCCCTCCAGAAGCTAAGACAACAAGCCTTGCAGGCATCAAAACCAGGCTTCCCATAGCCCCATGCAAACTGGGCTTCCCATAGCCCCAGGCATACGTCACATGGCCTCAGAGAGCTCCAGAAGATGGACCACCAAGCTACTGCCCACAGGGTAACCAAAGACCATAAGATGCCTTAGTGTAAGCAGAAGTTAGACTGAGCCTGTGTGGCCCTTCACAACGTCAAAGTCCAATCTAGGATCCTATAAAAGCCTACTCAAAGTGTGGCTCTGTCAGCGCCCCGAGCCACCTTGTCCAATAGGTACCTTCCAGCGTCAGGGCAGACGTCGTTATTTATTGTCATCTGTGCCTTGCCCCTGTCCATTCGTATCCCGTTGTGTTAAAGGAGCCCAGCAACCGAGAACCAGCCTCCAGAAGCCAAAACCAAGTCTGACCCTCTTCCAGCTTCCTTTTCACTTCCGGGAGAAAGGTCACAGGATGAACACGTCTGCTTCTTGTTTGCTGGGGCTCTTGGCAGGAACAGGAGCCTGCAGTGTACCAGGCCTGCTTCTGAAGCGGCAGGCTCTTGGGGTTTCTTGCTGCCTTATTTATATTAAAGGAAGAATTAAATTCTCGTATGCAGTAGAGTTGGTGTTTACTTCAGGGAGCCTTTTAAAGCAGAGTTGGGGATGAGGGTAGATTTCCTGTTGTCGAGCAAAGCTCTCGCGCATGCATCAGTTTATTCGTGCATCCTCGGGAAAAATTTTAAAATAACAAAATGGAATGCTTCTTCTGCCCTTGGGGCAGCTTGTGCACTGCCTGCAGGGTCCCCGAAAGGGCCTTTGGAAGGCGGCTACAGGGCAGAGTCCAACATAAATCCCTACTCATAAAGAAGACAGGGAGGCCCTGGAAGCAACGAGAAGCCTTTGCTTTCTGAAGGGTGACTTGAAGCTGGAGCTCTAGTCCTCTGGGCATGTGGAATCTTTCCAAAAACAACAGCCCCTCCCCTCCCTGCACACCTCTGCCCCGAAACAACGGCCCCCTCCCTGCACACCTCTGCCCCCCAACAACAGACCCCCCCCCTCCCACCCCTGCCCCCCCAGCACCAGCCCCCTCACAACGGCCCCCTCCCTGCACACCTCTGCCCCGAAGATCCTGGACAGCCCCGGTGCCCGCCTACTTGCTCTGCTGTAGGCCCCAGGACTGTGTTCGCTGCACCTGTTGCAATGGTGAGCTAGTTAGGACCATGAGGTTGGTTACCTTAGGGGAGGATATAATGTCCTTGAGAGCCCCCGGCCAGGACAGGTGGCTCAGGCAGTAAAGTGTTTGCCTTACAAATACAGGGACTCAAATTAATCCCCAGAAGCCACATGAATTGTGAGTGCTTGTAATCTCAGGCAGACAGATGAAACCTCAGGGCTTCCTGGCCAGTCAGCTTAGCCTCACTGACCAAAAAACAAGGCAGACCATTCCCAAGGAAAGACATGGGTGCCCTATGGCCTACATAGCCACACCCTCTGTACTCGGGAGCTTTCATTACTACCATGAGATACCCAAAGCAAACCTCTTAGGAAGGAAAGAGGTTTACACAACTCACTGTTTAGAAGGCTCTAGATTCAAGAATAGACAGCTGTGTTTGACCTCTGGTGAGGAGGGCAGAACTATCACACGTAAATGGGAACAGGTGTAGGAGACGTGTTCGATGCTTCAACTGAGGCGAACATCGAGGCTGGGGCTCTTAGGATAACCTTTGGGAGAACTAACCAGGGTCCCATAAGAAACACCTCTAATCTCTTCAAGGGCCCCTAATTTGAGGTCCTCCACTAGACTTAACCTCTTCAAGTTGCTACACCACCATGCAGTGACCAGTCTTTCAATGTAAGAACTCTCGGCAATAACATCCGAACTATAGCTCCCTGGAAATAGCACCTCGGTTCCTTATCAAAGCTGTTGCCCAAATCACCCAGAGAGTTTGGCCAGTTGCCTTGAACTTGAACCTGTATGGTGCTCAGGATCCAATCTGAAGTGACCATGTAGAGCTCAAAGCATACCCCAGTAGAGAAAAACTTCTTCCTTCCTTCCTTCCTTCCTTCCTTCCTTCCTTCCTTCCTTCCTTCCTTCCTTCCCAGAAAACCCAAATGGGCTGCTTTGTCCAGAGATAGACCCAGGGGTGGGAGGGGCTGATCCCTTTCTGGGGACTTATGGTCAGTGTGGTGCCAGCTATGCCACAGTTTTCCCAAAGCACAACTGCAGTCCCACAAGTGTCCAGGACATGGGTTGCCTGGGAAGGTCCTGATTCCCAGCAGGTTGGTACAGGTCCATGAGCACTTACTGGGAGCACTTATTGATGCATAGGAGGCACTGTTGGAAAAAGAAGTTAATAGGACCCTGAAAGGGGAAAGCAGGATGCACCTCAAAATTCTCCTACGAGAAGCACCCCCAAAAATGACTGGAACAGCCTGAAGGTGTAGCTGGGTTGGTAAAATACCTGCCTGGCATGCAGGAAGCCCTGGATCCAATCTCCATACCACATAAACTGGCTATGATAATGCATAGCTACAAAGGCTGAAACCCAGTGCTGGTGGGGTCCCACACATCCCCGAGTGGCCCTTACTGTCTGTATCACTGGGAGCAAACTCCCAGGATCCACTGCATGCTTCCATGGCTTTGCTGGGGTTAGGTCAAAGGAACCTGCATGCTGCCAGACATGCCAGCTAAGAAATCCAAGAAGGGCGGTTAGGGAAGGCCTGGAAACACTTGGAAAAGGATGGGCAGCCAGGTTGCAGCAGCCCCTGCTGTGGTCAAGCCCTTCCGCCCACACAGACATTGACACCACCACATCGGTTCCTGAAGTAGATGCTGTTACTGTAATCCCCATTTTCCAGATGAGGAAGCAAGATGAAGAAGGGTCAGGTGACTTGATTAGGGTCACACGGGGAGCATATGGACATCAGAATTCCAACCAGATGTTCATCAGATTTCAAAGCAGGGATGCATTTGTGTACACTGAGGAACCATGCAAGTTAAGAGGGAGGAGGGTCTGGGAGAGCAAATCACAAGCATCCTGAGTGCTAAAGTGGAATTTGATTTCATGCAGTGAGCACTGGTGAACTGATGACAGTTTTTTTAGTTGCCTGAATCATCTATATATCTACAGAGTTATAGGTACCAGGCTTTTTCTCTTGGGCCACCAACCAACTCCCAAATCTTGACACGGTGACTTACTATTAGTTTTGAATGTTTGGCCTTAGCTTAGCTATTATTTTAATCTGTTTCTCTTTATCTATGTTTTGCCTCAGGTCTTTTTTACCTTTCAGGTCTTATTTCCCTGCCGTCTCCATGTCTGGCTGGCGGCTCTGCCTGGCTTCTGGCCCCAAGCATGTCCCTCTCTTTCTCCACCTTCTCTTTTTCTCTCCTTTCTTTCTCAAGTCTAGATTTCTCCTCCTACTTATTCTCTCTGCCCACCACCCCCACCTCTCCCTCTCCTGCCTATCCTTTGGCCATTCGGCTTTTCACTAGACCAATCAGGCGCCATAGGCAATCAAGGTGAAACAAACGCAGCATGTCTTTACATAATTAACCAAATGCACCACAAACCAATGTAACCAATATGCATCATTAACAAAGGCAGCCGAAGTAGCAGACCTTCACATAGTTAAATTAATATTCCACAACATAATCAAATATAACAGATCTCTGCCTAGTTAAAACACTATTCCACCACAGTAATGAATTATGTGCTCAGTGTGGTGTGAGGGGCTGAGGAGTATGTGGCCGTCTTCCAGAGCAAGGGTGGCAGCAAACAACAGTGAATGTTCAATCTCTCCAAGGCTGTGATTCAGAAATCTCTCGTTCAGTCTAGTCACCATCTCCTTGGGGAGCTGAGGGTTTGTTTGGTTTGGCCAGTAGTGAGGCCCAGGCAGAGCTGAGAACCACTTGCAGAGGGAAATTTGTGCCGGCATCTGGCCTCATCCCTCTCTCTGCATCCTGCTTTTCCCTGCCCAGGGAGGGAAGTGTTCAGACTGAACTTTTCTCAGCAGCCTTCTAAATATAGCTGGTCTTTTTTTAAATTTATTTATTTTTATGTGCACTGGCATTTTTGCCTGCATGTATGTCTGTGCAAGAGTGCCAGGCAGTTGTGAGCTGCCATATGGGTGCTTGGAACTGAACCTGGGTCCTCTGGAAGAGCAGCTGGTCCTCTTAGCCACTGAGCCATCTCTCCAGGCCTGATAACTATTCTTTTAGCTAGTGTTCACACACACACACACACACACACACACACACACACACACACGCATACACACATGAACACACACATGTGCACACACATGCAGCAATACCACCGTG